CAAGGTCTCTATGGGAGTTGGAACTGACTTGATGTCACTTAACAACAGGTAATGATGGCATACTGAAATATTTAAGGAAGAAATATATTGGTGTCTTCTATGATTTACTTTGAACGTTATAAGTGTTAATGGGGGAGTGTGCAGATGTTCACTGAAAATTCTCTATTGTAAGTTTGAAATTACAATAAAATGTCAGGTGAAAAGCAAAAGTCATGTTAGTAAGAACAGTAGAAAAACCAGATCTTAAGCAGTGGGAAAAAAAGGACTGTTGAGTCAGTTCTGACTCATAATTTTCAGTTCTGACTCATAATGACCCTGTATAGGGTTTTGGAGGAGCGGCTGGTAAGCTTGAAATGCTGACCTTGCAGTTCAGTGCATTAACCCACAGTGCCACATTAAAAAAAATAAAAGAACCACATAATGGGTGTAAGAAAGATGTACAGGAAAACCAATGCTAGGAACAGTTGCTAAAAATGAGTACAGTTGTGATTTTTTATGGCGAAGATAGTTGACATTACTGGTCAGGCAACTGAACCGCCGTTAATCAAAACGGCTGAAGTGAAGGTCATATTATAAAGAACACTGTAGCTGTCGTTAAAGTGCTGTCAAGTCGGTTCCGATTAACAGCGACCCTGTACAGGGTTTCTTAGAAGTAAGTGGTGAATTTGAACTGCCATCCTTGAGGTCTAGTGCTTATACTACAGTACCACACTAGGACTCCATTAAGAACAACATCATTGTTGTTAGGTGCCACCAACTCATAGCAACCCTATGCACAACAGAATGAAACACTACCAGGTCCTGGGCCAACCTCACAATTGTTGCCATGCTTGAGCCCATTGATGCTGCCACTTTGCCAATTCATCTCACTGGGGACCTTCCTCTCATTCTGTGACCCTCCACCCTACCAAACATGATATCATTCTCCAGCGACTGGTTATTCCTGACAGTATGCCTGAAGTATGAGAGACAAAGTTTGGCCATCCTGGCCTCCAAGGAGCACTCTGGATGCACTTCTTCCAACACAGATCTGTATGTTCTTTTGGCAGCCCATGCCATGGCACTTTCAATATTCTCCTGCAACACCAGAATTCAAA